CCCTGGGCAAGGGATGGAGCCTGTGGGGCTTCTCCCCTTCCCAGGCTGGGCCAGGCTGGGCTGGTCCTGCCACGGTTCCTGGGCAGGAGATGGAGCCTGCAGAGATTTTCCCCTTCCTGGGCTGGGCTGGGCTGGGCTGGTCCTGCCACGGTTCCTGGGCAGGAGATGGAGCCTGCAGGGATTTTCCCCTTCCTGGGCTGGGCTGGGCTGGGCTGGTCCTGCCACAGTCCCCAGGAAGGAGATGGAGCCTGCAGGGAGTTTCCCCTTCCCAGGCTGGGCTGAGCTGGGCTGGTCCTGCCACGGTTCCTGGGCAGGAGATGGAGCCTGCAGAGATTTTCCCCTTCCTGGGCTGAGCTGGGCTGGTCCTGCCATGGTTCCTGGGCAGGAGATGAAGCCTGCAGGGATTTTCCCCTTCCTGGGCCAGGCTGGGCTGGGCTGGGCTGGACCTGCCTGGTCCTGCCATGGTCCCTGGGCAAGAGATGGAGCCTGTGGGGCTTCTCCCCTTCCTGGACCTGCCTGGTCCTGCCGTGGTCCCTGGGCAAGGGATGGAGCCTGTGGGGCTTTCATTTCATTTGCCATTCCCAAATCCCAGCTCACCTTGTTGGGAGGCTTCCTTGTGCTGGGCTTGGTGCTGTGACAGCTGTCACCCGAGTGGTGACATCCTCAGTCCTCCCCCTCTTCCCACACCACTGCTCCCCCATTCCCAGGCACCCCAAATCCTGGGATTTGGCAGTCCCGGCATTTGCCATTCCTGGGATTTGCCATTCCCGGGATTTGGCATTCCCAGGATTTAGCATTCCCAGGATTTGGCATTCCCAGGATCCATGCTCATCTTGTGGGAAGCTCCCTCGTGCTGAGCTCAGTGCCGTGACAGCTCTGCCACCTCTGTGGTGACATCCCCAATCACCATTCCCACTGTGTTCCCCCATTCCCAGGCACCCCAAATCCCTGGATTTGCCATTCCTGGGATTTGCCATTCCCAGGATTTGCCATTCCCAGGATCCATGCTCATCTTGTGGGAAGCTCCCTCGTGCTGAGCTCGGTGCCGCGACAGCTCTGCCACCTCTGTGGTGACAACCCCAATCCCTCTGGCTCCCACACCATTCCCCCATTCCCAGGCACCCCAAATCCCGGGATTTGCCATTCCCAGGATTTGCCATTCCCAGGATTTGCCATTCCCAGGATCCATGCTCATCTTGTGGGAAGCTCCCTCGTGCTGAGCTCAGTGCCGTGACAGCTCTGCCACCTCTGTGGTGACATCCCCAATCCCTCTGGCTCCCACACCATTCCCCCATTCCCAGGCACCCCAAATCCCAGGATTTGGCATTCCTGGGATTTGCCATTCCCAGGATTTGCCACTCACAAATCCCAGCTCACCTTGTAGGAAGCTCCCTCATGCTGGGCCACGCGCTTGGTGCCGCGACATCTCTGCCACCTCAGTGGTGACATCCCCAATCCCGCTGCTCCCACACCATTCCCCCATTCCCAGGCACCCCAAATCCCGGGATTTGGCATTCCCAGATCCCAGCTGACCTTGTGGGAGGCTCCCTTGTGCTGGGCCACGCGCTTGGTGCTGCGGCAGCACTGAGTGGCTGAGAGCTCGGCCACGCGCACCTGCCCATCCCGGGCACACATGGCCAGCGTGGAGTCGCCGCTGTTGGGAAGGAATTTGGCCTGGAAAACATGGAAAAAAGGGAAAAGGTGAGAAAAAGGGATTGGGAGGTGGTAGGGGGGAGAAGGGGAAAAAGGGTCATTGCAAAAGAGGTGGAGGAGGAACAGGGTGGGGAGGGGAAAGGGATGGGGGGAGTGCTGGAATTGTTCTGGGAATCGTCCCAGTTTTCTTGGGAATCATCCCAAACTCTTCCCTGGGAATCATCCCAAATTCTTCCAGGAATCCTCCCAAAATCTCCCCTGGGAATCATCCCAAATTCTTCCAGGAATCCTCCCAAATTCTTCCAGGAATCCTCCCAGCTCCCTCAGGAATCTTCCCAGCAATTATCCCAAGAACAGTGCTCGGAATTATCCCAAACTCTGCTGGGAATCATCCTGGGAACTGTCCCAAGCTCTCCCAGGAATCAGCCCAGCTGTCCTGGGAATCATCCTGATTCCCTTGGGAATCATTCCGAGCTCAGAAGTCCTGATTTCCCCCTCAGAATTCCCATTTTTCCCCTGAGAATTCCCATTTTTCCGGTCCCTCACGAGGTAGGCTAATCGTGCCATAGGTTGATGGAATCCCCATTATTCCTCCAGAATTCCCATTTCGCCCTCAGCACTCCCATTTTTCCCCTCAGAGTTCCCACTTTATCCCTCAGAATTCCCATTTTCCCCTCAGTACTCCCATTTTATCCCTCAGCATTCCCACTCCCCCCTCAGAACTCCCATTTTTCCCTCAGAACTCCCATTTTTTCCCTCAGGATTCCCATTTCCCGCTAAGAACTCCCATTTTTTCCCCTCAGAACTCCCATTTTTTCCCTCAGGATTCCCATTTCCCGCTCAGAACTCCCATTTTTCCTCTCGGAACTCCCATTTTCCCCTCAGCATTCCCACTTCCCCCTCAGAACTCCCATTTTTTCTCCTCAGAAGTCACATTTTCCCCCTCAGGATTCCCATTTCCCCATCAGAACTCCCATTTTCTCCTCAGAATTCCCATTTTCCCCTCAGAACTCCCATTTTTTCTCCTCAGAACTCCCATTTTTCCCTCAGAACTCCCATTTTTCCCCTCAGAACTCCCATTTTTCCCTCAGAACTCCCATTTTCCTGCTCAGCATTCCTGTTTCCCCCTCAGCATTCCCGTTTCCCCCTCAGAACTCTCATTTTTTCCCTCAGGATTCCCATTTCCCGCTCAGAACTCCCATTTTTCCCTCAGAACTCCCATTTTTCCCTCAGAACTCCCATTTTTCCCTCAGAACTCCCATTTTTCCCCTCAGCATTCCTGTTTCCCCCTCAGCATTCCCATTTCCCCCTCAGAACTCCCATTTTTTCCCCTCAGAACTCCCATTTTTCCCTCAGAACTCCCATTTTCCTCTCAGAACTCCCATTTTCCCGCTCAGCATTCCCACTTTCCCGTCAGAACTCCCATTTTTCCCCTCAGAAGTCTCATTTTTTCCCTCAGGATACCCATTTCCCACTCAGAACTCCCATTTTTTCCCCTCAGAACTCCCATTTTCCCCTCAGAACTCCCATTTTTTCCCCTCAGCATTCCCCCTTTCCCGTCAGAACTCCTATTTTTCCCCTCAGAACTCCCATTTTTCCCTCAGAACTCTCATTTTTTCCCTCAGGATTCCCATTTCCTGCTCAAAACTCCCATTTTTTCCCCTCAGAACTCCCATTTTCCTCTCAGAACTCCCATTTTCCTGCTCAGCATTCCCACTTTCCTGTCAGAACTCCCATTTTTCCCCTCAGAACTCCCATTTTCCTCTCAGAACTCCCATTTTCCTGGTCAGCATTCCCACTTTCCTGTCAGAACTCCCATTTTTCCCCTCACAACTCCCATTTTCCCCTCACAACTCCCATTTTTCCCTCACAACTCCCATTTCTCCGATCACCCACAAGGCAAGGCCGCCCCTTTGCGATTCCAACCCGCCATTCCCGCCCCATTCCCGCTTTTTCCCCTCACCTGGAAGACGTTGCTCTTGTGCCCGCTGTCGAACTGCAGCACGGGCCGGCGCCTCAGCCAGTCCCACACCAGCACCTTGAGGTCGTCGCTGCCGCTGGCCAGGCGGGTTCCGCGCTGGTTGAAATGCAGCGTGTTCACGCAGCCCGTGTGCCCTTCCAGGCCGTGCTGCAGCCGGAATTTCTGCACGAACAGCCGGGCCCCGCAGGCCTGAGCCACGAAACGGGAGCAGCCGCCCAACTGGCGCTGCCGCAGCGCCGGGATCGCTCTCCAACGCGGCCGAGGCAGCGCCCACGTCTCCGAGGCCACCCAGTCCTCCAGCGCCTGCTCCTCGTCCGACGAGTCGCGCTCGCGAGGCGGCCGCTTGCGGGGCCCCCTGCGCCGGGCCCGCGGTTCCTCCTCCTCGTCCTCATCCTCGTCTTCGTCCTCGTCCTGCCGCGGCTCCTCGGGGATGGAGTAGTGGCCGGTGTCGTCCAGGCTGTCGCTGTCCTTGTCGCCGGAGCTGTCGCTGTCGCTGGCGCGGCTGCGCGCGGCCCCGGCGTCGTCGCCCGTCAGGCTCAGGCTCAGGTCGGACGCCTCCACCTCGATCCCCGAGGACGTCTCGCGGCCCTCCTCGGCAGACATGTCCTCGGGGCTGCTGGACAGGCTGCCTGGGGACAGGGACATCACAGTGTCACCAGTGTCACACTGCCACGGGGACAGCTTCACAGGCTGCCTG